TTTAGCTTAAGCCATTAAGATATGAATAGTCATCAGACTGATATTGATCAAATTGCAATATATAGAAATTAATTTGAAATTATTAGCATTAATTTTGATAATTTATATGCTTTGTAGGTTTTGGAGTTGGGAATTTTGGTTCACTCTGTGATAACCTCAGAGCTGCATTTCTTGCTGTATGTTGATGTAGGCATGGAATCCACCATTAAAGTCACTGTCGCAAGTCACTATTGCAGATAACATTGCCACAAACCCTGTGAAGGAAACTTGTGCCGTGGGTTCTCTTTCAAGCAACTAGACGATAACATGTCAAAGGAGCCCGGCAGGATGTGCCTAAAGCCGGTTGCTAGAATGATACCAGCAGCAAAACACTAGACGATTACAAACAAATTTCCATCGGGGTGAAGAGCTGGGATTGAACGTGTGAATAGCTAGTTCTAATAGTAGTTGCTTGTTTCCTATTATTCTTTTGTCATTCAAATTTTCCGTATTAGTTTATATCTCTGTATATATAATACTACCACCACATTCCATGGACATTATTGTTAGCAGTTTTATTTCACCAATCTCTCTCTTTATCAATACAATGGGTTTACAGTGTTATACATTTTTATTTCTTAGCTCCATAGGTCAAAATTCCCAAACCATTCTCTTCATTCTCCGAAATGGTTCGAAATCTGAGAAGGGAGGACAAAAATAATGATAATTGCGAATATGAATTTAAAAAAAAAAGATTTTATGTATCTTGTTTTTAATTAAAAATATTATTTATTAATATAACATGTTCTTTGAACCAGATTGAATCGGATATTCTAGGCTTTTAATATCCTATCCAAAGCCTAACTCTTTATTTTTTAATTTTTTTTAATTTTTTTATATTAGAAAACACACCGATATCCATTTTATTTTTATTACTTTAATCATAATCCCCTTATTATTAGACTCTTTTTAAAGTAAATAATCATTTGTTATCCATTTCCTTTCCATAGATCTTTGAACTCTTTTTAAGATCAATTTTAATGTTTAGTAACTAGCTAAAACCTTAATTAATTTCAATCCAAGTAGCAAAGCTATTCTTAATTTAAATGTGGAATTGTTTTTTAATGTTCAAGGTTGAAATATATTTGTTCTTAGAATAAAAAACCCACCTCAGTCAATAACTTTAATTAAACTATTTAGAATTGTTAAAGAAATTATTTTTTTCTTAAGTTTTTAATTTCTAATAACATTTTTTATTTATTTTAAACTTAAAATAAGACATATTTTTTATTTTAAAATAATCTCCTTTTTTTATTATTCTTTTTGAAATTTCAGAAATCAGTCAAACAAATATATAAGACTTAATTATGCTAATTTAACACTAAAAAAAATTAAACTGATGCACTATAATAAAACTCCCTTAAGTTTGAATTACTCAAAAAATACGAGTTTCAATTATGGATCGAAACACTCCTAGCCAATTAAATACACAATAATAATATTTCCTTACAAGGGATTCAAAAATTTATTAATTAATTACATTAATAAACACATTAGCTCCTTCAAATTATAATCCACGTCTTGGCACTAGAAGTCCAACAAAAGGCCCAACAAGCCAAACCCTAAAATACTTCCAGGCTCTTTCTCTCTTCAAAGGTTTAACTCGTCAACTTCAAGACCCTAGCGCCGCATCTCCTCTGCACTGCGACCATGGTAATCTCAAAGCCGCTCATCTTTTCGCCTTACACACCACGTTCGATATCAGCGATTAAGTTCGCGTTATTTCATTTTCAGGCTTTGTTCGTATTTTTTCTTGTTATATTTAACCATTATAATCTGATTTGGGTTGTTGTTTAGGTTCTCCAAAACGACATTGATTTGTTGAATCCTCCAGTGGAGCTTGAAAAGAAGAAGCACAAGCTTAAGCGTCTCGTTCAGTCTCCCAATTCCTTCTTCATGGTAATAAATATTAGTAGTTAACCTTTTTTTCCTTATTTTAGTATCATGATTTGTTGAACATGGTGGATTAACTTGATTCGGTTATGCTCTCTTTGAAGGATGTTAAATGTCAAGGCTGCTTCAACATGTAAGTTTATATTGGATTTTAGATTTATAGTTTTAAATATATAATTATTTATATATTTCACTTTTTAATTTGTGTGTTTATACTCTTTTGGCAGAACGACCGTATTTAGCCACTCTCAAACTGTGGTGGTGTGTGGTAACTGCCAGACGGTTCTATGCCAACCTACTGGTGGTAGAGCTAGACTCACCGAGGGATGCTCTTTTAGGAAAAAGGGTGATTAAATCTGATGGCTATGATTGGTAGAAGAGTTTTGTATGTTCCCATTCTGGGTATCTTTTTGATGTGTTAAAATGTCTTAATTTTAGTAGCAACATCAAGGATTTAGAAAGACAATTTGTTATTGTTCTTAATTTAGTGGATGATTTTGTTTTAATGAATGTTTTGAGTTGATTTTGGTTTTCTGGTCTTGATATAAATATAAATATCTTCGTTGGCTCTGGTTAGAATTTTCTTGTTCCGATTCGATGCTTCTAATTATAAAGACTTTGGATTGGAATAACTAATTTTGATGTTGTATTGAAGCTGTGATTGTTTTGGCAGATTGTATGATTGATAGGTGGTGGAGATATAGGATGGTTAAGAGAATAAAGTTTAGGATTGAGTAGATTACATCTTTGTTTCAGTTTAAATTCGCATGCCCTTCAAGTGTGATACACTGATA